TAAAATGCTGAAGAACGACACGAACTTCAGTTAATGTACAGTATTTCACATTGCTTTGCTATCTATTTAGCTAACAAGAATATATTCAAGGCAATTCATTCATTTTGCCGCTTTGCGTAAACAGCCGTTTTGGGGCTAAACAGCCGTTTTGGGGCAATTTGACCCTTCCATTATTCGCTCAAACTCTTGAAATTTTGTATGGCCCAAAAATGTTATTTCACTTATCGAAAGATCAGTCCTTGCTGAAAACGTTGGTATAATGTTCATGTTCTAATTCGAGGTATCAGTGGCGATATATGGATTTTAATCGGACATAGTCTAAAGTTGCGTAAAACAAGCGACAAGTTGAAAAATCGATAAAATATTCAAATCTACATCAAATTCGACTTTGAGAGCTGCTACTTGTACATTAGTGTTTGTATTTTATGAAAAATAAGTTTAAATGTGCAGTACTTTTGATTTACCAGCGTAAACAAGCTCAATCTGAAGTAGTTTGTATCGCACTGAAAATACGCCCGTCAGCCGTGAGAACACAAATATCGACTTCTCGTTAAAAATATTTTTCGAATCAAAGTTAAACACATTTTCAAAATTACGCGACCTCCCTGAAAAATACTCTTACTTCAAATGTCAGTTTTATGTCACAAAAACTGCTAAAAATAGCAAACGTAAACAAACTGGCAAAAGACATTTTAAATCGTATTTAATACCAAAACGGAACAAAAATGAGCTAGATAACTTAGATATACAAACTAAAGCACTATACAAACAATTACAACAGAAATATGTGCCGTGAATAACTTTTAAAGTTTGAAAAATAACAATTTATCCTGGAATTTAGCTGTCCGTATAAAACACGCGCGCTAGACTATAACGATATGTTATGATTTTGTTTGTGCTTAAATTTTGCAATAATTCTCACTAAAATATCTTGAAAATCATTGTAAGCCTGTTTATATAAAGCATACAAAGCATATACATCGACAAGGAACCGCAAAACTCAAATTTAAACTTCGTGACCGAATGACATAAAACTGACATGTCATCTCTAGCATTTTCGTCCTTGGTCGCGTAATTTTGAAAACG